AAAATTTGACCTATTGAATTAGGGATTTTGTTCCATAGCACAATTGAGTAATGAGTTCTTAACTATATTAGAAAGTTGATAATATGCAAATGGTTGAAAATCAGTGCATTTCACAGTGTGCTTCTGTAGCTGTAGACAGATCAGATATGAGAATTACACATATAATTTGAGCTAATAGAAGATCTTGGTTATGTCTAGTTAGCTTGAATTTAAATGGTAGCCCACCAACCCCTAGCTTTGTCTATATGACATTGTTTTAGAGTACCTTCAGTACCAAGGCCTGCTTGCAATATGACTTCAGTGACATATGTTGAAAAACCCCCAGAACCTCTTTGGTTGGGCTGTTCTTTAGTTAATGAATGTATTTATTGGGCATTAAGAATTACAATTATTATCTTCTCCCTTTTTGTGTTTCCAGCTTGATCCTGTGGCTTACAGGCTAGAACCAATGATTATTCCTGACTTTGACATGAAACCTGTTCTCATTCCACATCATAAAGGCAGAAAAAGACTTCATCTTGGTAAACAAAGCATATTCAGATATTTTCTTCTACTTGAGAATTATAGAAGTAGCATTCAGAGTTTTTATGCACAAATAGAAGAAACTTAAAAAAAGATTATGCATGCTTGGAGTAGAATGTTTTTGCTATGCAGTTTGTATAATTTGACTTTCCATTCTGAAAGAGAAAATATTTCATATACCTTTTTCATTAAGCTACTACTTTTTGCACACTGAGTCTTGGGGAGAGATTATATTTTTAAGATAATTGTATGTCTTAATATGGTGGGTAAAAACTGTTACATGTGTCCTTACATACATATGTATAGCTGTGGCTGTGTGTACCTTCTAATGTATCTACTGTAGCTCCCAGTAAACTTTAGCTAATCTACCTGCTGCCTGCAAAATCAGAGAGCTGTTCTCTTTTAATCCTGCTATGATTCACATGATCAGATATTCACATGATCAGATATCAGCCATGCTACAGGGAAACAGGTCCAGGACAAGGATCTCAATGGGTATTGCTAGCATGTGGCTTTTATTCTGCTGGCTTCCCAGTGATATTGACACTGCCAAGATCACAATTTTCTGTGTTGCTCTTAGTGGTGGGAAAGAAGCAGTCTGAGTGGGAACTTGCTTTAGCGCTGACATGGAAACAGCTTGCCCACTCTCTGTGCAGTTGAGATCACTGGGAAGTGAGGAAGGCTTACATTTTCCCTAGCAGCGTCTGTGCATCCTTGTGAAATGTTATAGGGTTGTTTTTTGTGGGTTTTTCGGGCTGTGTGGCCATGGTTTAGCAGAGTTTCTTCTGACGTTTCGCCAGCATCTGTGGCTGGCATCTTCAGAGTTTCTCTGAGGACCTCAGTTTTCTTGCTGTAGGTGGTGAGTGCATGATGCAGAAGATAACACTGTTAGTATTGATATATTCTTCATGGTTACTATTGACAGCAAAGTTTCTATGACAAATGTATGTGTGAACATTGGATAGGCCATCCTAGCTGCTGAAACTGAATTATGCTGGTGCAAAATCAGAATGACATTTCATCTCTTAATATTTTCACGAATAAATATTGCTCTTAAAAATACTAGTATTTTTCTGACCTTTATTTAGTACTGACCTTTATTTAGTACTGACCAAAGTAATAATAATAATAATAAAATT